CACTTCATTTTTATTAGGAGACTTGTGTCAACGACCGATTCTTTTTTATCATCGAACGATGACTTGGTTGCGACATATCATAATAATTCCGAAAAAAATGATTAATTTATGAGAAAAAATTATTTGTAGCGAAATTGTGACAAATAATGTATCTAAGATATCCTAATTATTATTTCTTCTTTGTGTTTCTGTGAGTGAAATTTTATTTCTAACAATCAAAATATCCTCTTTACTATTATTTTTCGTATATTTTAAGCTCTTCTCGCGTATGCAAATTTTCAAATCAATAATGAAATTACAAGAATATTAATAAAGTAAGGAATAATAAAACAATTAAGTCCACTAATCGATACAGAGACATTTACCATGCAACTGCAATATTAATTTTGCAGATTACCTAATTCGCTATTATAATGCCGTAATAGTTAAATGGGGCAATGGTCTGCGGTTTAATTGGGTAACGGGTTAAGCACACACAGGTGCTATTTACCACGAGCTAAGTGAACCGTAACGAAGGTAGCCCATCGAATGAAGTACTTCGGAGGTCGATTGATGAGGGAGGAGGAAACGTGTCGTTAACAAAGTAATTTTTCAAACGAGCAAGCATTATTTTCCCGAGTTAAACCGATAAATGAGTTTATTGAACACGTCGGCAAAATAAATTCGATATATAATTCGATATACAATCGCCCTATATTCGTTATATATATATATATATATATATATATATATATATATATATATGTGTATACATATACATACACGTATATGTGTATGCTTTAGATGAAGAGGTGGAAATTATATCGCACATATCCGGCATCACAAATTAGAGATAACTTTCAAGCGTGACGCGCATGAGATATCGTTATTCTCGTAATTAAAAGTGCAAAGCTCCCCTCCTAGTTTGCGTCTGCTCGATAACTCTTCTAATTATTCCGAGAAGCGAATTTTGTGTAATTTATACAAGCATGCTATATCCGAACGTTGCTCTCTCTTCGGTCAATTTAGTAATGGTCAATATTTCACGCGCTTTGGTTGACGTGTGAAATTCTTCTGTTCCTTCTGAAACTCATAAAAACTCTATTTGCAAACGGGAAAGACAATGACATTGTCTTGTATCTCAGAACATAGAAAGGTAATATCCGTTCAATCTATAATGCTGATGCGAGGAAAACTTACGCTTCTCCTGAGTATACCTTCTTAAAAATTGATGCTTTTATCACGGAACATGACGGAATCGATAAAGTCGGTGGAAACTTCTATATTCCGCTTCGAAATAACGTTAACCCATTTTAATGTCAACAAAGTTGTGACACATCTCTCCGAGAGATATCTTTCTCTATTTTTCGTGAGAAAGAAGAGAAATTAAATAAGAGAAACCGAGCGCGCGTTTTAGAAACCTCTGTGCTAACTAAATCTCTCTTTGTTTTCTCTTCTTGTCTTATTCTGAAAACAGCAGAATCCTCAATTTCATCTATATTATGCGGTAATATTTGTTTTATAAAGCATACAATGTCATAAATGACTTGACATATATGCGGCAAATTAGTAATTATTTAAAAATTCAAAAAAATTATTTAAATTATTCAAATTAATTTCGATTTTGTATATATTTCTATTAATGCTTCAAATTCCAAAGTCTGAAGAAACTAGTTACGATGCACGAAGAATCACACGAAAAAGAATCTTATATACTATCAGCCGAAATTAACGAACATATAATACACTATAAAAACAAATTCTTTTTACGAATTTTCTGACTACATTCTTGATTATACTATTTTTATTGAAGAAAGCACTGTTTCGATTAATTAAAAAACGCATTCATGAATTCATCACAAACTGTGCAATAAATAAACAAAAAAATATAAATAAAATTAAAGAAAAACATGCAAAAAAATAAATAAACCTGCAATTTTTGTCTATTTTATAAAATAAAACATTCTACAATTTTAATTTTCTTCTTTAATTTAATTCTCATATAAATATAGGTTAAATATATAGAGAAAAAGATATGATATTTAAAAAACGTTTGCCAATACATGTCTTATAAGACAAATAATGCGAAGATGCGAAACGACATATAATCGGATTAAGAAGCGATAGTGCAGATTGCAATGTCTCTTGCAGTAACATGAAAAAGGTTGAGATCAAGTGGGATCTTATGAGAGTAGTTCTCTTGTTCAACGAAATATAATAAATAGCATGTTGTGACCAATTCTGGCAGACCTCCAGACTGTTGCCGACATGAATCGTCGTTGGAAGTTATAAAAGGGATATGTGCTCAGGGATGTAATATTCGAAGATGTAATCGAAAATATAATGTACGAGATAAAACGGAGTAAATTTTCGTATTAAGGCGAAGAAGAATTTGAATAAACCAGCTACGGAATTTTTCAAGAAAAGATAGAATCGATTATAATGCGTGCCAAAAATGCGTTAATGTTTGTAAAGAGAAGGAATTTTCATTTTATTTGAAATCTTTCTTCCCATAGTTATACGTGTGTGCTTTCACGACAGCCGGATTTCCCGGAATATTTTCTCACTCCTGACGTAATGAAATATATACAGCTAAATCGACTTCCTGTTATTCAAGTAGACATATTAATCTCACAAGTGCCACTTTTTCCCTTCTCATAACTAGAAGTGGCACTGTCCCCGACGAGTTTATTAATCCGATGAGCCATGAGTGTAGAAATACGCAGTTGAACGTCGGTAGATTTATCACGCCAGTGGACGAAGACGAATGTCCCGCAGCAATTAATGACCGCTACTCCTCCACAATAAACAAAAGCACGCGCTGAAAGAATCATTGTTAATTTGATTTGTTGTTCTACGATCGCAAAATGTGATTATTAATTAAATAAGTTCAAAATTAGATTTTAGGATCTGATGGAATATATATTAATTATAATAAAATATTTTTTTTATCTAAAGATATTTTCTCGGTTTTTCCTTCGGTAATTCTCTCGATAAGATTACAATATAATCCACGCATACACATAGAAATATTGTTAATAAGAATGGAGATGGAGAGCATCGCATACGCAGTGTTTATATTGCGCATTCATTTTCATTTAATTGAATTCGTGGCGGGTCAAGCGCGAGAACTTTAAATTGTGAGATTATCTTCGAAATCCAGTCGCTAAAACTTAAATCCTGTAAAAAGTCTTTCTCGTTTCTATTATAATTCTTTCGTCGCTTCGGTTATCTGTAAATTGATTAGCAAAGTCTGTTTAAAAAGTCGACTTTAAGTGTTGCGTAAAGACGATTAAAGCATAGCATCGGAAACTTGTTAATCTCGTTGAAAAATTGTAGATAGGTAGCAGTATAGCTGAATTATGATCCGCGGGAAGGGGTGGGGCGAAATTACAACGACTATAACTACAGTTCGCGCTCGTTTCAGACTTCACAAGCGCAACCGTTCAAATTATTTCCTCGTTCTAGGGAAATTACTATCGTGCACTTTTTGCCGAGGTTCTTTGCATCTTTCCCGCCGACGTTATCCGACGGGCGACCGGTACGGCCCTTCCGGTAATTTGCTTTTTCCCTCCTGGTTCGCTTGCCTCCTTTCTGCAGCGTGCTGCCCGCTACTCTTCCTCTTTCTTGAAAATTTAATCGCGGAGCCGCGACGTCGCCTTTAATGCGATTCTTCGCCGCGTTCCTTCTTTTACCTTGCCTCGTTTTACCGAAGTTTTATTTCATGCCGCCGACATCTGCCGACGCGAGACTTTCTAAAAGAGCCATCCGCGTCCGTTGCGGTTAATAACGGCAACCTTCTTCAAAGGACACTCGGTGAATCTTACGGAAAAAGAAGACACACGCAGATACACACTCACGGAGATACATACACGGTGTTTCGAAACTGCCGCATCGATCGCTTAATATCACCAATGCCATCGAGAAGCCAGAATAAATCGGTTTTCGATATTAACGAATGCCATTCCATAGATTGGTTAGCGAAATTAAATACGTTCTCCAGTTTGTATGGAGCGGAATCACGGTCTAAATTTTGCAATCGTAAGCTGAATACGAGAACCAATTTCGACTCTCATTCAATTTCGTCTTGCTTCGACTCACCGTTCAAATACGTTAACATTTTAATCATGCTTACAACGAAACGTATAATATATTACCTAGTCAAGCCAGTCGTGAAATTATGGATTATTACAAGACTTTTGCATTTTTTGTAAATCCATCATATTCTCCCTTGATTTTCGTAATTTGATGAGAACATCCTATAACGACCTCATAAAGTACGGAATAAATACTCATCATCAATATTGATCAGAATTTAAAGAGATTAACATAATTAATAATATATTGCATAGCGAGTACTCAACTTTTACAATTAATAAATTTGATTTAAACGATATAAATAAATTCTTAATATCAAGCATTATTAAAATTTATTTGTATTCAAACATAACATGTACATCGTACGTATACGTGTATTTCATATTGAAATATTGATATATAAAAAACATGGAACAGTTATATTTTATGATGTTACTAAATGTGATTAAAAAAAATATTAAAGTTGAGTATTTTTTCGCTCTTTCATATTTTTTATTCTCACTTAACTATATTTCTACAATGCTCACAGTCGAAATCAACAACTCAAATTACTGTCTGCTCGTTTCACGTCGAATCAAATTACTTAGCCGTTGGCAGTACATAGGGTCGTAATTGCGAAGGAAACTTCTCAAAAGATGCTTAAGTTTGATGAAACTTTCTCTCTCTTAGGCTCGTTCTCAAATTTACATTTTCCATGTTCCAGCGAAGACGACTTTGCAGTCTACGGCGACTTTTACCGATGCACTGCCATCGGCGGGTATAATTAAACTTGTCGCGTATCCTTTTGGGACACCGTGTCTATTACTCCAGAATGGCTCGCGCACAGTAGCCGAGTACTACGCCGTGATCTATACCGACACGTTCCATAAAATTTCATTACCCTTTCGCGGTTCGTTAACATGCGACTACTTTCTGTTGAGCAGGAGTGAACGGATGCGCCGGACAGAATTGGCCCTGGAATGGTAACCGTGGCACGGCGATAATAATGGCCGTCGCGGCGGCTACCCTGTTCCTGATGATGACGTCGACGCTGACGATGACGGTTCCCCGTAACATAACGAATGTACCGGCGAGGAACGAGCCCACGGTTAGCAGGTAGCTCGCCCTTCATGAAGATATCACTGCCACTGTCTGATCTGATTACATCGTCCATGTAAAACCTAGTAGTCTAGGGCTTCCAGTTATGTATGTTACTATGTATAGAATAGATAGTGGAATAACGATGATTTTTATTCTCTCGAGGAGCCTAAACGCGGAGAAGATTGGCGTAACGCTAGCGAATCGATCGCAAGACTATCCATAACTCGTATACTGTTACTTTTGAACGTGTTGTCTTTCGATGTAAATTGTTGATCGCTCTACTAACGAAAAGAGGGAAATAAATGACGGATAAAGAAACGTTCGCGTGTCGAGACACAGACAGAAAAAACGGCTATCCTAAAGCAACGAAGTGAGCATGGAATCGTTACAAGCCCACGGTTAGCAGGTAGCTCGTGGCCTTCATGAAGATATCACTGCCACTATCTGATCTGATTACATCCAAGTAAAACCTAATAATCTGGGGCTTCAAGCCGTGACAGCAGCTTCATTTGTGTGATTAAAGAATGACAGTTTCGATAGGAGAAGGAAACACGATGGAGATTCGACTTCCGTTCACGTTTTCATTTGAATTCTCCGACGAAGTATAAATGAAATATTTATTAGTGATCGGAGTGTTCACAAAGTGTCAAATATAGATTATTCACAGGGGTAACTATAATAACTGATATATATATAAATATATATATATATAAAATAACGTTAGCGCAGTAACGAGCGGCGTTCTGCTCAATATTCGCTCCTTTTATGATGTCCGACAGAAAATGCATCAAGATAGGTACTGATTTGTAATCTGTACAAATTGTAATAAATTATAATACGAACTGTATATAAGAGATCTCCTGTCTTATTAACTCATCGTCCCTGCGCGACTTTACCTAGTTTAATAATTTCTTTTATATATTTAGTAGAAGAATCCTTTTTCGAAGCATGAAATAAATTCAAAGGTAAGTTCATTTTATATATCTACATTATCTTCGTTGAGTGTTATGTCTTTTCATGCAATAATCGTCTCATGATCGTCTCTATACATGTGTTTGCTGTAGCATTTTCATTCAAAGATTTAATATTCGTATGTATATATTTTACTCATATAAAATACTCACAATCAGGTAGTAAAGTAAGCCGGAATAATTTCAGATTCGTATGCTTTTAAGCCTCAATCCAGAAGATGCTTTCAAACTTTCATACCTTCAAAGCGAGTTGACATTGACTTATTCATTTTACGCGAGTACGCGCGCGTTTACACGAGACACTCTTAGCATTCGCATCATGATGGCTTAGCATAAAAATAATTATCAGTCTGCTGCATCAAAATGGAACTTTATCTTTACAAAAATGTTTTTGCATCCCACTTTCGCGTTTCGCAGAAAGATTTTAATCCTTACGACTACCTATGTCGATTCTAGTTGGACTATTTGCGCTCAGATCAAAGTGCCTGACATTTGAAAACGTTTCGTCCTCTTCGAGCAAGAATACACAAAGAACTATTCATACAGCGTGTTAAAATAAAATTTTAATTAGTTTGTATGAATAGAGAATTTCCCAAACTAAGAATATATATGACTTTTTTTATGTTTGTCATTTAAAAGATTATCAGCTGAAAATATAATGAAAATGTAATCAGCTTTCGTCTTTTTAAATATCAGAAGGTATTATTTTCGTGCAACTTTTTAATGTAGTTGCACAAATTTTTATAATATTTTTCAATTTTCCTCGCTATAATTTTCCAAGAAGATGCGGCGAGTAGTTTAAGAAGTCTTGCTGAAAGCCGAATGCAATCCTAGGAAGAGAAGGAAGAGAAGAGAAAGAAGAAAAATGAACGAAGGAGAAGAAAAAAGAACGAAGGAGAAGTCATGAAAGTAGACACGCATGAGCGGATTAACCACTCCAAAGGAATTGGCAAATTGCAGGAACGGGCTTATAAGCCATAAATTAGGTTGCCCGTAATTCAGCCTCTCCGCGAAACCGATGTATGACGGAAACTAGCGCTACACAGGGTGGCAGGAAAGACGAAAATGTAACTGAACTGCGATCGTTGAAATTGGCGTTAATCAAACACACATGGAAACGTAACATTACAGGTAACCATTCGATTTGTTGCCGAAATTAAAACTCGGCTACGACTATGTGCGGTATAAGCCACATGTGTCTGACGTATCGCACGTGCCGCACGTACGGTTCTACTACTTAACGTCGCGTGACACATGGCTCGCAGAAACCTTGATTCGAACTACTTGCTCCGATATTTGATATCGTTTCGCGTACTAGAATTATTGTTACACTTTTTGCATTATATTATATGTAAACAGTTCTAAATGTGAAAGAATAATAAATGAGATATATATCTATTATAGATTTGTAAATAAAACCTATTAACAATTTAGAAAACTATTTCAGAAACATGAATACAATGGTAGGTACAACAACATTTATAAAATTAATTAAATCTTAATTTTTTTTCTATTTTAAAATTTAATTGTATATATAATTAATATAAATAATATATATTTAATTAAATTACATCTATAATATTAATTTAATTATGAAATTAAGAATCCAAATGTAAGCTAAATTTATTGAAAAATATCTATGTAATATATAATAAATATATTTCCATGTAATGTATGTGTAGACAATTAAAAATTAATAGATTTATTTATCTCAATAACTTGAACGTTTCCTAATTAAGTTAATGTAACAATGTGTAACACAATACGTCTCTACTGTTCTGTTGTTTCTATTGTGCTAATAGTAGCAATAGAATAGCTCAGAACTTTCACAAGAATTATATCCCGGTGGTATAATATATAATTTGCATTGATATATACTGAATAGTTGACTACACACCTCTCTTGAGTATTACATCTATTTCAATAATTGAAGAATTAATACCTCTCCAAGAGTATTAAGGACAACCGCGCGCGAATACCTTGAAGCAGGTCTTATCGTAAAGCCCTGGACATCTTATCCGATGAAAGTTTATACCGAACTGAAACTATCTATTACTCTTAGAGTTCGTTGAATCGTGTTCCGGAAAGAAGAAGAAGAAGAAGAAGACAAAGAGGAACAGGGAAAAGCTGCAGATCGTCATTCCGATACTTAATCCACTCGGCTACGAGGCATCAAATTACTTTTAGTAGAATCTAAAAGCTTTGCTTTCCAAAAATGTCTTGTCATTTCATAAAACTGCCGTTGTACGCGATGTTGTTACACGATTTATAAAGATTAATGTTGTACTATTTGAAATGCACTTGCATCTCGTTTGTTCAACAATATTGCACATTATTATCATTGTCATGATATACATCTTTCGTTATAAAATGATGTATTTTACTTAATATCAGTGATATAATTTTCATTTATTTTTAATACTACAAATTTAATACATACACAGTAAAAAATAAAATGTTATAATAATAATAACATTTTTCACACGTCCCAGAAAGTCCACTCTAAGTTAAAATAATTCATTCATTGTATGTTACTTATTGACAAACTAAAAATGTTAAATAATTGACATAATACTTTACATTTATTTTTGTTATCATGACATTGAATGTAATGTAAAAATAATATACAAATTATAAAATATTAATTATAATATTAATAATTAATTATAATATTAATATACATATAAATTAATTAAAAATTACATGAAAAAATAGTTACAATAACTCGTAAAAAATGTTGAGGACATTAACATATAATTGTAATTATTTTAATTTAAATTATTTGTAATAGAAACATTTGATTTTAGTAAATTTAATTATTTTTTGTATGTCAAAGTTCAAGATTATTTGAAGATTCACTTTAACTTTTCTTAGAATGTTAAACTGACTTTGAGACATGTTGATTATTTAAAATGATTATGTTAAAAATATTCAAAATAATATTCTATTTCTAAGAGACATATACAAAGTATTATAAGTTATGAAGTTGACATAAATATAACACATGAAAAAGTTGTAAAAATAATAACATATAAGTTGTATATTAATTTTACATTAAAGTACTAATCAAAACGTGGTAACACAAAAAAATTTTAATTTATGGACATACAATTTTATACTATGTAATTTTAATACTACAAATATTATAAATTTTTTATAAATTCGAAATTTTATTTGCCGATATTAGAATCAAGTTTTTCGTTTCTTTTATTTACGAAGTGCTATAACTAAATATGGATGTTGTAACTATACACACACACACACACACACACACACACACACATTTAAAGAACACATACATATAAAAAACAATCGCTGCCATCAATTTACTTCGTTTACGCATAGAAATCGGAAAGCATTGGACCATCTCGTTAACGATTTCTGCAATTCAAGCACGCTTTCGATAACTGGATGCGTCAAAATCCGTAACCAGCGACAATAGTTAGAGTTCGTTACATTCACGTTAGTTATCTCCAAGCGATTAGTTTCGTCCAATTAAAGTCATATAACAAGAACGACTAAAGAATACAAATCCCAACATTTACGGCGAAAAATCTGACGATGTTGAAGTGTCCTAAAAATGAATTGTGTCAACGCGTTCTAATTGAAGTATAATTGGAGCATTGGCTACTTCGCTCTGATGCATTTCTGTAACAATATAAAAAATGTGATTCGTTACACATTGAATAATTCTTTTTAATAATTATTTCTTTCTTATCAATTGTCACACAAGAGAGAGTCTCGAAGTATAATACTATACTTTGTACTTAATTCCTAGTTTCATCCACAACGCAACTTGAATTGCTAGTTTAAGTCCTGATCTAGCACGAGTCTTAGGTCAGATTCGGTTAACGTGAGTTTCCATTGGCGAAGTTTGGTCGAGTTAAAGAGATCTAGCACAGTGAAGCAAGACGTTATATATTCAAACTGCGATATAACATGCCTCGAAATAGCGAGAGAAAACGAATCAGATTAACATGAAAATTAACATAAATGATGACACTCAATATATCGAGGATAATCTATTTTGATCAAGCCACAAGCGATTTTGATATTGCTCCAACTATTCTAGAATTCTAATCATAGGATGAATCTAAGTATAGTTTTTCATTTGCGCCGGAAAGATCGGTAAATATCATTGATTTGTTATAGCAAAAAGAGGTTGATGAACGAGAGACGAAATTGTCCGAAATGTAATACGTAGCGGAACAAAGAAAAAGAATCGCAGCAGAGATGGACGAAAGGAAAAGCGGCAAAAAGTGGCAAAAACGGGGCACGATAAGGGAAGCACGAACACGCAAGACTGCCGACTTGGCACGCTAGAAGTGAGAGGATATGGACCGTTTCCGTAAACCATCAAGAAATTGCATTAACATGGTTATCGCCG